CTTCACCTTCACCTAGGAGTCCTCTCCTGGCTTCCAGGGCAGACTTCGGCTTCCAGCACTGATACTTCTTCCTGATCCAGACTCTCACAGGGCACTGCACTGAGCCCCAGTCTTCGACTGAATCTTTTGGTCTGTGGTGGCCACTGTGAGTCAATCTAATCAATTCATACCTTTTGTGTATCTTGTAGTAAATCTGTTTCTTGAGTAAGCAATCACTTCTACAGGGACCAAGCAATTTAGCTAAGACAAATGGAATGTGTCTACAAAGAAGCTACATGTAAATGTTCCCAGCGGTGTGTTCCTCGCTGCCCAGAGGGGCAGCCATCTTAGGAAGAGGCCACGGTGAAGCATAGAGGACTCCTGTGGGTATTTCCTGATGTTCCAGTGACCTGCAGTCCAGACCTGTGGCTGGAAACCCAGAAGCAAAGTGTCCCGAGTGTTAAGCAGTACACCATTTCAGGGGAAGCCAGCTCACCAGCCTCCAGATGAAACCTTCTTGAGCTACCAATTCTTGTCCCCAGTAGGAAGGCCCATCATTGAGTGTGACAGAGTGGGCTGTGGCATCTCCCCCATTAGTGTTCTTGCTCCTGTTCTCCTTGGACGTTTAGCACCCCCCCCATCCTCAGCACCACTAAGTTTTGCTTTCTGTTTGAGGGAGCTGAGTTTAGTGTTGGCTGATCAAGTGATGGGGACCTCAAAGGGGACTTTGCAGAAGAAGAAAGAGCCCATGAGCCCAGGGGGCATCAGCTGGAGCAGGTGCCTGTCTGCCTGGCTGCAGGGTTGGAGGCTCTGGGAAGACCTGCTGTCATGAGCAAGCAGTTGCCACGGCACCCAGCAGAGGCCCCTCCCACCTGTCACCCAGTAGTGCCTTGCTTAACCTGCAAATCCCAGCTAGCTCTGTCAGTGCTTTGGAAGTGAGGTCCATGGAGGAGAAATGCTGTGGCAATGCAGAGGATGGTGACAAGTGCTTATCCTAGGCCTTGGGAGGCAGGAGGCCAGGGTTGCTAAACACCTCATTTCCAGACAAACCTGGGCTGGATAACTTGGCCAGTGAGGGACAGCTGGTTTCCTCACTGGACAATGGTGTGCTCTGGAGGTTAGTAAGCCATGCTGGCTCTTGCCAAGGGCTTCTTGGAACTGGGTGACCTCTCATTCATTGAGGTCTTGCGTCACTGACCCTCCTTCTCCAGACCAAATGGTACCCTTGGGAGGGCCACTGCAGTGCAGGCTCTCAACCCTCTCCCTGACACCTCTGACCCCCTAGTGATGCTCCCTGGGTGGAGCAGGACCCAGCAACCTATTGCCCTCCACTTGTGAGGTTGGGGTGCTGCCTTGTAGGAGGCAAGGACCTGGCCCATGTCTCGAAGGGGACCATGCTGGACCCCTCCCCGGGGAGAAGCCTCGGACAATCTCCCTCACATTTCCCACCCTTCACATACAACTTAACGTAGAATCTCACTGAACTGGGAGCCTGTGGTGACATACATCTGTGGCACCCAAAAGGGATCCATGTAGGGGCCAGGCTGGGTGACCTTCCTCTGCACATGGTAGGGAGGGGAGGGGGCAGGGAGGGGAGGGGGCAGGGAGGCAAGGGCTCAGGGAGGTGTCCAGAGGCCACTAGGGACTCTCAGCCAAAAGGAGGCTCAATGCTAGGGCTTAGATCTAAAGTGTCTCCAGAGCCCCATTTCGCAGAAGTGGTCTTTGTGAGGGGGATGGAGTCCAGAGGGCACTTAGTTCACCAGAGTTTAATTCATTGGTGAGTTGATGCCTTAATGGCCATGTTGGGAGGTGGTGGAAATGAGGTGGGGCCCAAGTAGAGGGAGTGGATCATGGGGTTGACCGTGGGTTGCCTGGTCCCTGACTCTGCTGGCTCTGTTCCCTCTCTGCTTCCTGGTGGCCATGAGGTGAGCAGCCCTGCCCTGCTGCAGCTGCCCTGCCAGGAAGAGGATGTGGTGCTGAGTGACCTGCATGGAGGGAGGTTGACGTTTTCTGCACAGGTGTCCTACCCTAGGCCAGAGAGGGGACAAAGGGCAGAGGGACATTCCTGAGGCAGGGGAGGGTAAGGGCTGAATAGAGAGAGTGTTGGGGAGGGCTTTGATGCAGTGTAAAGGTCACTTGGGCATCCTCTTAGTGAATGCAGATTAATTCCTTTCTCTTAACATCCTGACCCTTGCTACCAAGTACTTCCTTCTGACATGCACTGAGATCAGTTGAGTTTCTAAACATTTTTAGGGAGTAATGAGGACTTCAAAAGAGTCTCAAGATATGGACGTAGTGTACTATTCTCTTTCCTGTCTCTACACAAACATTTCAGCACGGCCCACGCCTGCTTTTTGAGGGTGCCGTTTGAAGTCCCCGATGGGCTGATCTCATCCACTCTGCTGCAGGTCAGGCCAGAGTCTGCAGAGGTTCCAGGCTGCACTTGTCCACGATGCTGCCTTGGCCAGGGGCCCCAAGCTTTGCCTCACGTGGACCAGGCTGCTGCAGTGGCAAAGGCTGAGCATGGGTCCTCCAACAAGATGAAAAGAGGGGTGCAAGGGCTCCCCTTCCAGCTCACAGTTGAGAAGCTCCCCTTTTAAGGATCTCTCAAGGCTTCAACTGGAGAAACTTGTCCTCTGTAGTGCAACAGACGTCACAAGTGCTGTGGTGATCAGACGGTCCCCTCCTGCCTGGGAGGTGGTTTGCACATGGCTTGTCCACACCAGTGCTGGTACTGAAATTTGGTTTCCAGTATAATGGTGTTGAGGGGCAAGAAGACTTTCAAGAGACAATGAAGTCATATGCAGGGCTCCACTCACAAAGAGATGGGTGTGCTTCTCACACACAGGGCTGGGTCTCTGGATGTGCAATGGGTTTCTGGGTTGGGTCAGGGTAGGTGTTATAGGGCAGGGTTGCCTTAGCATTGTGCTTCTGTACAGATCCACTCATCTTTATGGACACCTGCCTGTGTGATGCCAGCCCACATTCTGACGTAGCTCCAGGTCCTCACTAGAGGCCAAGCAGATGCCTGGGTCATGTCCTTGAACCTGGGCCAGACAGAGCCCTTTTCTCCATATAGCAGCAAGCACTGGCTATTCAGGCATCTTGTTACAGCAACTCAGAGTGACTGTCCCATGTGGCATGCGGTTGTTACAAGTGCCCCCTGTTTCCTTTCTCCTGTTCTTCCTAGGCCCAAAAAACACTATGTGACCCTTGGGCAAATGAGCTGGATGTGGGGATCCACGTGGAGGCAGTGAGACCCTACGTGGCCCTCCAGCCACAGCAGTCACAAGAGAGCCACCAAATATTGTCTGGGGGCTGGCGGTCACTGCAAGGACAGGGACCCATGGAGACATCTGAGGGAGCAGCAGCACCCTGCGTGTGTGTGACTCCAGGTGATGGTGGCCCTATGGGGGGAAAGGTCCCACCATGAGCACGGTGAGAGCTGTTCAGCCCAGTCAACTAAGGGCTATGATGTCCACCTGTCCTTTCCATACACAGAGCTTTGCTGGTCCTTGATCATAAACCGGAGATGGCCCGGCTGTTTGGACAACAGGAGGTGCTGATCAAAGGGACAGAACCAAGGACTTTGAGACCTCTCAATGTCTGATGGGTGATAGGATCGGCACTCTTAGGGTGTGGAGTGGGGCTGGGGCCTGGGCCTTGTGGTGGCCACTGCCAGGGCAGGGGGTGGGGAGGGAGATCAGCAGGTGGAAGCTCTGTACTAGGGTTCCAGAGGCGAACAACTTGAACCCATGGTGCCAGCGGCCCAGAGCATCCCAGCTGGTGCACAGCGTTCTCGCTGGACAGAGGACAAGGATGTAAGGATCTCCTGTTGGCTGCAGGCTGCCCATGCATTACCATTGCCACACAGGGTTGTTATCTCTAATTTGGTCACAAGAGACCTACCACGTGGGAGGTTGGACCCCAAGGCCCCTGCTCTCCAGCTCTCCAGCTCCTATTCCACAGGCAACCCCAGCAGGCTGTGGGAGAATTCTGTGGAGAAGGAGAGTAGAGGGAGACCTCTTTCCTCCCTGGCACTGCGGCTGAGCTTCAGGCAGGGTCCAAGGATCCTTCGTCAAGTCTGTCTCCTGCTGACAGGGACCTAGGTGCAGCTAGGGAAGCAGCAGCTCCCTGTCCCAACCCAGCAAAACCCCCAGGGCCAGCATCTGTACCAAGTCAGCTGCTGTGGTCGCCCTGGATGCCCTGGGCCACTCCGTTCAGCTGCTGTCACTTATGTGGACACTCAGAGTGCTCTTGAGATTGCGGGGCTGCTCAGATGTGGGCACCACGGCAGCTCTTAGCTCCCATTGCTGTCACCCAGGACACCAGTCATGCCTGGGAGGTTCAGCCCTGGGCTCACATCCTGGTCCTGAGGCCCTGTGGAGGTGTTTATCATCCACAGGACATGGGGTGCTCCATGACACCCCCGGCTTGTGCTGTTTCTCAGGGCCCCTTCTTGGGAATCCAGGCTCACCAGTATCTCCAGGTACCTCAGAGGAACCCAATCTAGTCAAGTGCTGGCTCCCTCACTGCCTTTGTCTCAGTCCACTCTGTTTATGAAGAGTTCACTTAACTTGGGGTTCTGGGAGGTCCGGGACCAGGGTTGATTTCCCAAGGTTTCTCACTGTTCCACTCACACAAGATAGGGGAGATCATGTGGCCAGGAGGAATCTGGGGAGTGGTGAGGCAGTGGGGAGTGGGGTTCCCTTGTACAACCGCTCTCCAGGTGGTCACCAGGTGCTGGGGTGGGGCCCTCCATTGTCCCAACATCCCTACCAAGCCCAAGCCTCAGCAGGCTATACCAAGGAGTCCAGGTTCCGGCCTATGCCCTTTGAGGGCCACACTTGTCCGGGTGCTGCCTCCTCCCCCAACACTGAGCTGTCCCCTCGACAGGAAGTACATTCTTTTAACACAGAACTTGAGGTATGTTGGCTCCCGGGGAGGGGCTAAAAAAGCAGAATAATTTTGTATCTTTTTAAGATGATTTTCTCTGTTCTTTCTTACCTTCTGTGTTTCAGCTGACCAAGTCCCCTCTGAGTCCAGCCTGAGGACACTGAAAGAGTTTTTCCCTACTATAAATTACTGTACAGTTATGGTGATGATCTAACGTGGCAGAAGGCCAAAGCGGAACGCTTACCTCTTCCTGCTTCTTCCTCAGCCTTAATTGCAACTCCCCTTCCTGTTTGTGCACAAAGACAATTCCAATCAGCTCCTTGCGTGTCATCAATGTCTGCTCTAAGCACCACCCCGCTCAGAGGTTACATATGTCCCACACTCCCCCCATATTCCGGTCAAAGGAGATGGCGCAGCTGCTATGGGTTGTGTGCTCTTTTCCACGTCCTCATCTTAACAAACCTGTTTGTTTTGTATTTTTACTTCTCTATTGCACCAGAAAACTCTTTCAGCCCCCCACTTTGGAGCCCTCACAGGTGAGCCTTCCTGTGCCTCCCAGTCTCACTGTAAAGCAGGGAGCTAAAGGCACTTTTTTCAAAAGGCTGTTGCAGCATGTGAAGGACTCAAGAAGTCACACGGCATCTGGCAGAGATGCAGATGCGAGGTGGGTTGGCTGCTCTGCAAGTTTCTTCTAATAATGATGATGAAGAGTGAAAAGAACAGTGGTTTTGGAAATTTACCCTGGCACACTGCAGAATTAAATGTGCCTAGAAAAACTGACTTACAAAGAGGCTTTGAAGTTTGGGACATTTTCTTGCAGAAGGTTTGTTTTCTTGGTAAAGATCAATTTCTGTTTTTTCTTCTTCCTACAGACACCTTTATTTTGTTACTTCTTAAAAACTGATGAACATCCATTAAGATGAAGTAGCATATTTGTCAGCATTATTATTAGAGATACAGATATAACACAAGCCATGCAAATGACTAAGAAATTACAAGTTGTTTGCTCACAGTGGTCAGCCAGAGTCAGATGAGGGACCATGGGGAGGGCGTCTGCCTACTGGAGACTGAAGGCTTCAGTTCAAGGTCTCGGGCTCACTGCAGTATCTCATGCGAGTCCGTATCAGGAGGTTGATGGGTCTGCAACGGATGGCTGAAGAGTGTACCACGAGGCTGTAGGATCCACGGTGGAAGCCAAAGAACCTATGCTGGAAGCCAGGAGACCACGTTCAAACTATAGGCAAAGACCAGAGCTTCTTAGAACAGAAATCTGTTTGTCCTTCCTCCTTTTCCCTTTGTAATATCCAGGAGGTGCCCTAGAGTGGGTCCTCTGCCCCCTACAACTGGACAGTTGTAGAGTTTCTGAGCTACATAGTTAAACTTCTAAAGTGGATAAAATCATTACAAGCAGTCACTGAAAATTAGAGGAGAATAAAAAGTCACTCGAGGCCTCCTGAGGCTACCATTGCAATACTTTTACACGTGTATTTCTTTTTTTTTTTTTTCCCCAGAGAATCTTTTAAATGCATGATTGTTTTGATCAAATTTACCCATGCACTTTGGTTGAAAGCTGCCTTCCTCTGCTGGTGTGTGCAGCTCGGGCCATCCTCCCTGCTCCTCCTGGACCCATTCTGGTCCTGAGTGAGTGTATCTCTCTCACTCATCTGTGCTCTAGCCTCAAATGCAATGCGGTCTGCCATCTCCATATGGACCAGGCCTTGCCTTGCCTTCACAAGAAAGCCGCAGTGAAGGTAGAGCCACTGCCCAGCCCCTGGCTCTCAAGCCTCCTTCTTTCCACTCCTAGGATGAGGCACAGGAAGGCAAGGCCCTGTGGTTACCCCCAGAAGTCTGCAGTCTCCTCCCCAGAGGGGCAGGTGCAGCCACACAGGGAAGAGTCCCAGAGATTGGGCACCTGGAGAGAGGCTACCACCTGCTGGTGTCACAGGTCCCAGGCTGAGGCCAACATGCAGTTTCCCCCTCTGGGCAGCACAAGAGATGGGGGAGCCCCTTGCCCTTACACTGCGAGCACAGGTGAGCCTGTGTTGGTCCAGGCCCACTAGTCACCAGAGGGCTGGCCCAGGCATGTCCTTTACCACCAAAACAGGCCTGCTCACCCACACCAGACCCAGCCACTTCCTCCTTCCTCACTGCACAGCCCCTGGAGGTTTGGGTGCCCACCCTACTCAGGCTGCATCACCAACCCTAATAGTCTAGCACTCCTCTGCCGTGACCGCATTTCCCCACAGTGACTTTCTGTTTTCCTTGGAGTTTGTGAGAGTTTTGTTTTTGTTTGTGCTTTTTGAATACAATCGGTGCTCATCTCTAGTCCTCTCGTGCAGTTTCCAAAGATGTTTTTTCAGCTTTTACCTCTCGAGGGAGCCTCTCCCACCCCAAGGTCTAGACCTGCTGCAGTCCTGGCCCGGGGTTTCTTCAGGGCCCTCATCTGCTATTTGTGGGTTCTGAGTCTCCTCCTGGCAGTAAGGGCTGTGGCCTTTGCCCTTGGGGCTCACTCATGTCTCCTGCCAGGACAGAGCAGGGAGGAGGTGGCTGTCACCTTCATTGAATCTGTAGATGCCTTGACTTGTGCTCCCAGCCCCAGACAGAGGCAACTGCATTTTTGCCACCTGCAAATTCTCAGTTTCAGATTCTGTGTTTCCCAGCCCTCAGGGAGGGAGAGCCAGTGCAGTGTGCTGCGTGGCGATTACTTATTTCTGCTGTTGGGGAGACTCTACTTTATGTGTTGTGGCCTCCAGGGTGACTGTGGAGAACTCCTGCCCCTGAGCCGTGGTCTTTGGAGAAAGCATTGATGTTTCCCTCTGGGACCCAGAGGACCTTTGGGCGTGTCCGTGAAGTGGGGAGCTCCTCTCTGGCGTCTCAGCCAGACCTGCCTTCTTGATCAGTAGTGTGAGTCACAGAGCGGCTGGCTGGCTCCATGACCTTGGCAGTTCTCCTTTCCTGGCTCAGACTGCAGGGCCTGAGGAAGGTGAGTCACTTCCCAGTGCGAACTGCAAGCTCTCAAAACTGCTCACAAGTGAATGTGCTGTCTATAGAGCAACAGCTCCCCCAAGCTTCCCGGCACCCAGTTTCCGAACACTGACGCAGGGCTTAGGGTACTATGTCTGCCCCCATGAGCCACTAGGCTCGTCCTGCCCTGCTCTAGTCACCACATCGGTACCCTCCCCAGCCTCAGTGGTACAGGTGTGAGTAGGGGCTGTGGGAAGGTAGGTTGGCAGCGAGGGCCCTTGGTGTGGCACTGGGGCTGGCTCCGATGCAAGCCAGCCTCTGGCTCAGCCTGGATGTGGTCTCCATGTCCCTGGGAGGCTTTCGGTGCTGGTTTTGAGGGCAGCTAGCTGCGACAGGGTGATTGTCCCCAGGCTGGGAGAGGGCCCAACAGAGGCCTTCAGGAGCTCACCTGGCTGGCAGGGCTAGCCCCAGCCTGGTCTCTGCCCCAAGCCCCTGCTCTCTTGACTGGACAGCCTGCCCTCTGGTCCTCAGATGCTGACTGGGGCTTTGGCAACTTGAGATGAAGACATAGCCCTTCGAGGCACAGGGTCCGCACCCCCCACACATACCCGCAGCCACACTCAGCAAGATGAAAACCTTGAGAGGTCACCCTGGACCCTTGCTGGGCCTGAACCTGCTCACATTCTGGCTCTGATGAGACTCGGTCACCCCATTGCCCTCTGCGTGGTAACTCATTCCCAAATGAGTCCTAAATCTCAAAGGCCAGAGTTTCACCTAAAAGTCAGCTAAGTCAGATGGGGGGACATGCAAGAGTTTGTCTCAAGCCAGAACTCCACTATCCCCATCTGTATATCTATGGAACCAAACAAATTCAGTGCTTTCCAAATCCAGTGGTAGGACAGACAGAGGGATGATGGGAAGGAGGGGAGAGGATCTGGTGTTGCCAGGCGAGTTGCACAAAACCTTAGGGCTGGAGAACAACCTGCACATTGCCTCCAGACCCAGGGCCTTGGTCCTGGCCTCAGGGCTCTACCTACAGGAGAACAGCCCGTGGCTTGGGGTGGAGGTGCCTGGCATAGTGATGGTCAGTCAGTGGCTTCTCTGTTGTGAGGAGACTGCCCTGCTGACCTGAGTCTCCTGCAAGGTCAGTCTTTGCTGGCCTGGAAGAAGAGGGTGTGTTGGGGGCTCTGAAGTCGGGTCCTGCGGAGCCAAGAGGTCAAAGAGTGACTTCGTGCTCTTCACACCCTGGTCCAGATGAGAGGGAAGCCCATCAGTTCTGACGCTCCCAACTCTGCCCCTCTTTCCACCAGGAGCCAACTGACCTTACATTTAGTGTTTACAGTTACACTTTCTCATTTTTTTTCAGTATGAATGGAATGAGAATTTTCTAGAACTTGAGGTTTTAGTTGCCATTTTTGCCTACTAATTCTGTGCTCCTTTCCTTCTTGCTATCAGCAGTCAGCTGGAGCTACGGATTTTCCTAACACTTGACTTAGAAATCTCATCTGCCCCCAGTTTCATTGTCTTCACAAACCCACCTTCCAGGAGCGCTGTGGAACATAGCTCCAGCAGGCCATCTCCACTCTGGGTCGAGGATGTCTTTCTTGCAGTGTCCAGAAGCCCTCCTTTGGTTCTGTCCAGATACATCCAGACCACCACTGCCTGTTTGCTCGCGGTTACTTGGGCGTTCTAGGAGAAGACTGCAGTCTTCCTGTGGCCCTCTCTTCTTACTCTTTGTAGACTCACCTCATCCCCTTTGCCCAGTCCCTCCAGCATGCACCTCCACAACCCCAGGCACTCCCATCCCAGTTCCAGCCCCTCCCAGCACTTCTGCTATCAGGGAGTGTGGCAGCCAGGGGTCCTTTCCAGGCTCCTATGTCCCCTTCAGAGAATGGCATGAGATAACTGTTGAACATGAATGCTTAACATTTATTTAAAAGTAAACAACAAAAAAAGAAAGGTAGAAGAAAGAGAAAGAGAGGGAGGGAAAGAGGGAGAAGAAGAGGAAGTGGAAGGCGGAGAAAAGAAGAGGAGGAAATACTCTGAAGAGAAGATGCAACCACAAGCAGGCTGGGCCAGAGCAACACGGGGGCAGCGGTGGTGAGGTCAGTGGCTGCTGCTTTTGCTGTCTTCTTCTGATACAGGTCCAGGCCAGCAGAAGCTCCTCTTGATTGACCAGCTCTCTGTGATTGATGCTCACGCCTGCTTGTCCCACTCCTTGGCCATGTCCTACTCTCCTGTCTCACCCTGGCCTCCTGGTACTAAGCTCTATCATAGCCAGGCTGCCACAACAAGTGACCACTGACAGGGTAGCATTAAGGACAAACACTTGTTTCTCATGGTTCTGGAGTCCAGGAAGTCCAAGGCCAGTGCTGGCAGAACTACCATCTGCTGAGGGCTCTTTTTGGCCGTGTTCTTGCTGCACTCCCAGCTGTGGAGACCATTGCTCCCTGGGATCCCTTTTATAACAGTACTCATCCCATGCCTGAGGATGATTTCCACGGCCTGGGCCAGCACAGGGATCCATATCTGACAGGACGTAGCCCCCCCATTCTGTAGCTTCCCACCTTCCATGCACCATGGGGTCCTCTTGCCGGTCAGATACTGAGGGCCTCTCTACTGGTGTCACCTGCATGGCTGGACACACATGTCCTCAGGTGTCTTGGCATCCACTGAGTTTGGGGTGGCCCAGCCAGGCTGGTGGTCTGGATCAAAAGTGCCACACAGAAGCCCACACTCACCCTGCACCTCAGCCACCTCTGTGTCTCCAAGCTTCTTGCTGCAGACGGCTGCCAGTAAGCACCTGATCAGGGCACCTGGAACTAGCTGTGCTCCCCATGGGAGCTGTGGCCCAGGGGCAAAGTCAGGGACCAGAATCCTAGAGCCGCCAGCAGGAGAGAGGCTAGAACTGCACTTTGTGGTTTGATTCTGCTGGCTTTTCCCCAGGGGCCATTTGGGAAGGAAGGAGAGAACTGGGTCTGTTTCTATTACCATCACCCCCAGAGCCACAACGGCGCTGTAACTTTCAAAACAAAAATATTTTCCTGAGTGCAGAACAATGCAGCCATCAGTGAGTGAGGTGGTGGCTGGGCGCAGGGTCGGGCACACAGGCTATTATTAGTCCTGCTTGACCCAGAGCCCGGGGCGGTGCAGCCTCTCAGGCCACGCTTCCTGAGCCAGCGAAATCTAGTCTAATTAGTCTGTGACTGGAAACCAGTCAGGAACAGCGGCCCCTATGTCCAGCTGCTCCTGCCCATCTCTGCGGGGTCAGTTAAACATCACATAGCTGGAGGAACCCAGTGCTTTGTTACAACAACAGCAAAAAACCTGACTTGCTGGGTTTTAACAACCAGAATGGAAAAAAGGAATCACTTGATAATCTTTCCAGCTCACATATGAAGCACATTCTACTGTTTCTTCTCGGCAAGTGCTTCTGCGCCGTAAACAGTCCCACTGCCTGGGTTATTTACGGCCAAGATGTGTTGTTTATTAGAATAGTTTAGTCAT